CTCTATGCTTAAGCCGGGGATTAGGTCGGTGATTAAAAGGAAAGAAAGGGATTCTTTCCAGGTAGCCTTAATAAAGGCAGGTAGATCTTGCTCGTTGCAATGCACTTCACCTCACACACACGTCCGCTCAGCTCGAAAAAAATTAAACCAATCATGCGCAGAAGACATAAACTATAAGACGGTAAACGCGACGCGGGTGCGGTTTTGGGCTACAAATTTTCGGCGCAGGTGCGGTTTTCATTTTTCAATTATTGGCAACCCTGGTGACAATTGTACATAGGTAATCTAACCATAGAAAATATAGTACTACCGATATTTTCTATGAATCTAACCTACCTTTACCGTGGGTGACAAAATTAAAAGTTTTGCTTTTTAAATTAAAATGGCTCTAAGTAATTTTAGAAGCTTAATAAAATGTGGTCAACTTTTAAATGAGTCTGTATTATTAAATACCAGGTGAGTTATAATTAATAATTTTACTTCTTGTCACAAACTGTTTTGTCATTGCTTTTAATTTTTAGAGGTATCACAGTTTCTATCATACGAAGAAATACAAATGTTGAGGAGAAAAAAAAAGAATCAGGGTCGCAAAATGTGGAAGTAAATGGTGGAGAAAAGAACGGTGAATTAGAAAAATTAAATAAACACATTTCGGAACTAAAGGAACAAAATTCTGAATTATTGGTAAGATACTTTGGTAATTATTTACTTTAGTGGCACCACCTCCAATTTTCACAAAATTTTGTCTACCCCTCTATTTACTACATAAAATATACAGAGTTCTACGTAGTGTTATCTGAAATATTCAGGTTAAAATTTTGAAAAATTTTTTTCTCAAAAACTGGGTTCGACCGCACAAAAAAAACTTCAGATTCGTGTTCAGCACCTTCGAAAATAGAGGGGTAGACAAAATTTTGTGAAAATTGGAGGTAGTGCCACTAAAGTAAATAATTACCGATACTTTTGTTTTGAAGAGAAATATATTTTATTTATTTACACAATATTTCAGGATAAATATAAACGAGCACTAGCAGATAGCGAAAACTTAAGAAACAGACTGATCAAGCAGATTTCAGAAGCTAAAATATTTGGAATCCAAAGTTTTTGTAAAGATCTTTTAGATGTAGCTGATGTTTTAAGTAAAGCTACTGAAACTGTTCCAAAAGAAGAAATTAGTGATAAAAATCCGCATTTAAAGAGTCTTTATGAAGGACTTATAATGACAGAAGCACAGTTAAAAGCTGTTTTTAAAAGGCACGGTTTAGAACAAGTAAATCCTATGGATGAAAAGTTTAATCCTAATTATCATGAAGCTTTATTTCAGCAGGTATACAAAGTGATGCATTTATTTGATTTAAAATTAACTAAGAATATTTTTGCACAGTTTTTGCCTAAATATTCACCGATGCTGTTGATAGGGTTTATAGTTTATAGGCTGCATTTACCATTCATTTCCATAGAAATGAGAGATTCATAGAGCTGTTACAGAAAGTAGCAGTGTGTATGACTACGATAGAGAGTCGGTAACCGATTTATTTTATTGGGTTTATCTAAAAGTTAGATGGCTGTATGGTGAAATCATACTGGATATTTAACTTCAAATTTGTTTCATGTGGTAAAAATTGTAGTTGACATTTGATGTTAAAATTATGTTGTACAGGGTGATTCAGAACTTATCCAAAAAAAATTCTGGATGTACAATGGACTCTTACAAATACAATTGAAACAATATCCATTAACTCCGGATTGCTATACATGCAAGCCATTTTTGACACTAACTACCAAAAAACTATTGTAAACATTATGGCAGTAACGACTGTAAAATCAGATTTCAGTATTCGGAGTCGCTGATGCCATATGGTTCTCCACACGTATTACGAATTATGCTAGAGACTACAGTTGTCCAGCTATGTAATGGTTGAAAGTGTTCACGCCTACATGTTAATTTTAAATAAGTATTTTCTTATTATTATTATTTTTTGTTATTTTCTTAATACTCTGTTCGCCAGAGGGCACTTATGCGCTCACTCTGGCATTTAAACAGTCTGAATAGAGTCGCCGGCGGGTATCCTTGTTGTACCTAGTGATAATATTTTGTGCCGAAATTTCCGCATCCGCGTTTCCACCTATACAGTCCTCCTCCTACCCTACCACCTGTTCCGGAAGAGCTCCAGAAAGTCACCAAGGGGCCCCTTCGAAGAAGACGCTCTCCGGTAATATCAGGTAATCTAAAAATTTTTTTTCCTTTCCGTATTTTCCTTAACCGCAGCCCGCTCGCTAACATTTTTTTTGGTCCTTGACGAGCCATATGTTTTTTTATGTCTTGCATTAGTTATTAATTTGTTTCATAACATAAATTTCTACATATAAAATAGTCTCCTTTATATTTTATAGTCGAGTCGTTGATAGTCAAATTGATATCAGTAACTTTTTGCTATTCTCTTTTTGCGTCTTATTTATGCCTAGCTGAGAACGTTGTTTATAGGTCAGAGCCGGCATTAAACATTTTGGTAATTTAGTTCAAATATGGCAAGTGCTGACAGACTTAGAAAAAGTAAGGCGTTACGTCATAGTGAACTTACTAGAATTAAAGAACTTTTTAATATAGCTGAGCGTGCATTAGAAAATGATTCCAACCATTCGGTATTTATTCAAAGATTCAAAGACATAAATACGATTTTTGAAAACTTTAATAAGCAACAAGAAACTATTATTTTACTCGTTTCCAGTCTGGAGGATGGTGATATAATTGCCGAGGAACAGACTCGCTCTGAATTCGAACAGTATTTCTATAGTATTCGGGGCATTCACTATGATTTGTTTGAAAAAACCGATAAGCCGCCGAGAAATTCCTCCACTAAAACCAATCCTAAAAATCTTCCTGAATTGAAATTGGCAACCTTTAACGGTGACATTAAATTTTTTAAAACATTCATCGACATTTTTAACGTTCTTGTTCATAATAATGACAATTTAACTAATATAGAAAAATTCTCGCATTTGCATTCTTGTTTAGAAGGTCCTCCTAAATTGTTAGTTCAGCGTACGCCTTTGATAGCTGACAACTATTGTATTGCTTACAATAATTTATTAAAAAGATATACCAATTCCCGGGCATTAGCTTGTGCTTATTGGGATGAAATTTATGACAGTCCTCCTCCTACCCTACCACCTGTTCCGGAAGAGCTCCAGAAAGTCACCAAGGGGCCCCTTCGAAGAAGACGCTCTCCGGTAATATCAGGTAATCTAAAAATTTTTTTTTCCTTTCCGCATTTTCCTTAACCGCAGCCCGCTCGCTAACAGAAAGTACTACTTCAATAATTTTTTTCTTGGAAACTAAGGATTTTAAAAAAATTTGTTTACGATATTGACTCCATTTCTCATGCCGCATCTATTCCCAAATTTTTTTGGATAAGTTGTGAATCACCCTGTATATTTTTAAATAAATTTATACAAAGACTTCATTTGTGCGAAAAATAGTATAATTTAAAATACAGTTCATTGGAAATTGAATAACTTATGTTTTAAAAGAATAAAATCTGCATAATAATAATAATATATATTTGTTTTAGGATGTCAAAGGTATAGCTCCAGGCGTTGTTATTGCTGTTTCAAAAATTGGGTACAAATTGCATGATAGAGTAATACGGCCTGCTCTGGTTGGTGTATCTAAGTAGATGTTAATGTGTATATTGTTGTGGTTTATATTAATTGATGTTCTACTGTGATTTTTAATTATTTCGCAAGAAACACAAATCATATTAGTCAACAAATTTATAATAAAATTAGTATATTTCTTGTTGGTGTTATTTTTTACTTCAAAGTAACATTATATAAAAATATTATTGTATAGAGTATCCTCAAATAGGTGAAGAGACTTGTAAACTATAAAAGAAGTTAATTTGAAATATGGTGTCCTGGGATTTAGTTATGCTCTTTTTTTTTGTAAAACAAATTACCTAGGTGATTTCAAATCCATACAATCCAATAAACTTTAAGAATTTATAAATGATTATACAGGGTGATCTAGTCATAATGTCATTAATTTTAAGGGAAGATAGGGAAAAGTAAGTAGAATTACGAATACGCGACTAAAAAAATTTTAAAATGCATATTTACACCGATAAAAAATATTCAAATAATTTTGAAACCCCTTTTTGGACCACTCCTGACCGTTGACACACAAAGGTTTATCAAGAGTGAATCTTGACCTACCATAATATGCGGTTATTAACCTAGCTTTTAATGCCTTTTTAGTCCATAGGGAACTACATAAAAAAACCGCTTTTTAGCTAGTCACATGAATAAATAAGATATTTTTTACATTTTAAATATTAACAAGTATTATTTATTTGTTAGTAAAATAAATGTATAAGGATAATAATTGTGTTTGAATGTTAGGTTATACAATGTAGTGTATATTTTTAATATTGTTAATGTATTCACTACGTTTTATAATGGAATATGAGTTTTTAGTATTATGTTCAATTAATTATTCAGTTTGTAGTAGGTACGCATACCTTATTGTGTGATTTATTGCTTTTCAAAGAGTATCTACCTGTTTAAAATGACAGTACAGCTAAAAAAATACTCATTGGACCATAGCACTTTCTTAATAAAGTTTTAGGATGCACTTTGATTTTGAAACCAATTGCAAAATTCTAGATGACAGGGGAAATCAGCTGTTTTGCTTCAACATTTGAACGCTCTGTAGTCCGTCGGCGTGTTCCGTGTCGCGCAGTAGGGCGGCGAATTAATGGGAGTTAAGGGGTAGGTAATTTGCTTATTTTTTTAAAGGACTAAAATCTTTTTTTTTCGATTTTCTCTCTTTATTAGGCCTTCAGAAGTTAAAATTAATGACACTATAAATAGCCCTGTATAAATAATCTTTACACTAGTATAGTGCTCTTTTGAGGTGTTCTTTTTAAATTGTACTACACTAAAATATACAGTTCAAACAAAAGGTCAAAAATATTTTAAATAAAAATGTTCCTGTGGATGTAAATCTAAAAAATGTGGAGTACGAAAGACGGGGTGGAAAATTTCAGTGGTGTTTGCAGAAAATTAAAGTATGACATTTTTTGATAATAAAACGTGAAACCTATTCTGGTTTTTGAGGGATAATTTCTAGCGCGTACATTTTCATAATAAAAAAATTTCAGATAAAATTTTTTAAATAAAAAAATATATATAATAATGAAAGCTGTGCCCGGTATATCAAAAAGGGGTAATTATTTACTATAGCGTCACATTTTTTCAAAATTCTAACCTGGATATTTCACATAACACTATGCAGGACTCTGTATATTTTATGTAGCTTTCAGAACATCTGTTATGAATAATTGACATTGTTTCGCAAATTTCAAGTAAAAAAATATGTACCTATTTAATAAATAAAAATTTTGTATCTTGAATCCGCCATTTGTAATTCGTGATGACAACATTGAGTTCCCCCACTCTCATTCATCTCTGTTCATCCCACATAAAGTTACTATAATTTTATTTATTAAATACATATTTTTTTAGAACAAATTTGGAAAAATGTGTTTCTTACAGTGTTGATTGTTTATTACAGATGTTCTGAAAGCAAAATAAAATATACAGAGTCCTGTGTAGTGTTATCTGAAATATATCCAGGTTAGAATTTTGAAAAAAAAATTTCTAGAAAACGGTTCGACCGCACAAAAATAACTTCAGATTCGTTTTCAGCACAATCGAAAATAGAGGAGTAGAAAAAATTTTCTGAAAATTTGGGAGGGTGACGTTATAGTAAATAATACCAAATCAAACAATTCTGTAGTCAATAGCGTTTATAATTTGAAAAGTTGAAGTTTTTAACAATTGTATTAGTGCTACATAATATATAATAAAATAAAAAAAAGCGACAAGATTAGGGTGACTTAATTATTTACTATACAAAACACAGAAATAAAAAGAGAATAAATAAATAAATCAATATTTTAACAAGTAACCCTTATTTAGCAACAACTTGCAGGGTTTGAAATAAATTCATTACAGATTGATAAATATTTTGAATTTCCATAAATTGGTTTCTGTTGCTTACATTTTACTCATGAACTTCTTTTTGCTATCACCCAAAAGTTTTCGATTGATTCAAATTCTGAGGCTGACGCAGCCACATCAAAAATGCATTATTTTCACGAAACAATTCCCTTCAGATTTTGGCCAATTTTTTTAGATCATTATAGTCTTAAAAGCATTTTAGCCATATTTTTGACGTCATTATCGTGTTAATAAATAAATCTTAAGAGCATTTTCCATTCGGTATACAGTACCAATAGGTCATCTAGTGTAGTATGTTTTGGTATTCTGATGAATAGAATATATGTAGGATGTAGGTATTCAAAAACGACTCAAAACCATAAAATTTCCCCCCATTTTGTTTTATGATGCCATAAATGTATTTTGAATTGTCTTTTATTCGTCTCCAAAAATATTGAATTTACATTAATCACTGAATAATACTTTTTGTCTTTCCCTAACAGTCTAATGTACAAAGCGAGTGGCAAAGAACATTCTAGCTTGTATATTTTTCTTTGTTAGAAACGAGCTTTCAGTTGTTCTTCTAGCAGGAAGTCCAATCTCGATGGTCTACACCAAATAATGTTGAATTGTTCTTGGAGACGTACATCCCTGAAGCACGTTAACTCAATGATTAATTGATTTAAAATTCCACGATTATGGAATTTCGAAATTATTTTGAAACCACTTGTTTTGAGAAGCCAAATTGGTTCTCCATCAATGTCTGCGACATAGCATTACATCGGCCCGGCCGCGCAAGAATAAGGTGCCAACAATTTTCACCACACTTTTCAAGATTTGACACTAAATATCACCAGTCATATTAGAATTAGATGACAATGCATACGTACGAAAGCCGCCAACAATGCAGAAACAATGCATTAACACAAATGATTTTCAGAACTTCAATCTCTTGGAGAAGGCCACCCGTAATGGAATGGTTTTCCAATACCAAAACTGAGGAACTAAGTACCAGAAACCTGGCCAGCAATAGGTATATACAGGGTGTTAGTAAATAAGTGCGACAAATTTCAGGGGGTGATTCTACATGAGAAAATAATGGCAGTTTGCTTATAAACGTATGCCCGCAAATGATTCGTTTTCCGAGATACGGGGTGTCAAAGTTTTTCTTAAAAACCGACGATTTAATTTATTGCTCTGAAACCGGTCGAGATGTGCAAATGAAATTTGGTGGGTTTTAAGAGGTAG